TATAAATTATGTGTGTGCAAAAAAAACTTGTATACTACTCAGCTTATTGGTGCAAGTTTATTTGTCAGTGTTAAGCATACTATGGCCTTGTAATTTATTAACAGGACAGTCAGAAGTTTTTAGTGTAGAATTAGAATCAGTTGACTGAACGTTGACAGGGTAAGCTGAGGGAATGTAACTATAATAAAAAAAATGTATTCCTGTTTTAGCAATCCTGTGAAAGGAGAATTAATTAATCGTCCAGGTGGTCCGAATGTTTACCCGGGTGTGCCCAAACATTACACGGGACAGGTAGGTAACTCACAAAGTTTGTCATGTGTTCTCTTCCCTTCTGTTTTGAGAAATAGTCAAGTAAGTTACCCTTTCGGACCTGGTCTATATCAACTTATTCCTGATGCCTGTCATTATCACATCAAATGCATATTTTTATAAGTTAATCATTGGGTGGGGGCATAATTTTGTCATGGGGATGTTGTGTTTGTGCGCAGTTACTAACCAAAAGGTCTCTAAAACAACTGAGACCACCAAGCTCTGATGATTACCTGACTAAAGTGATGGTACGTACAGGCAGCTGAGCATACAACTGACCAGACAATCCCCTCATATGCTGAGGTTGAATAAGCACATGGAAACTACTTCATCTGCCCTGTTGACTATCGAGTCCTAAGGGGTAGCTTATTTGTCATTCTTCCCATCAATTCACCATTTGTAGTCTAAACCTTATTTTTAAACTGCATGAATTCTAAATGCACTGTACCCAGAATCAGTGTATGATTATTGTGTATAAGTAAGTGTTAGTTGTCAATAGCTGGGGCAGAGGTGTAGCGAGGGGATGTGGAGGGTGCAGACCGCACCGGGTGACACCATTTAGGGGGGTGACACCAAGGCGAAAAATAGCAAAATATATAGAGAAAAACTTGAGGGGGGTGCAAATTGAAAGTTTGAGGGTGGGGTGCAAATTGAAAATTTGAGGGGGGGGGGGTGCAAATAAAAAATTTGAAAGTTTGTTCCCGTAAAGGGTCGCTACGCCTCTGGGCGGTGACACCATTAGGTGCCGCACAGAGTGACACCTGACCTCGCTACGCCACTGAGCTGGGGACAGCAACTCTTCTAAGAAAGACAACTCCAAAATTAAACAACTGCTGCCTTGTATTTTGTTCTTGGTTGGACAAAGGCTATGGAAGCAAATCCAAATAGAAAGCAGGCTGAAATCATAATCAACTGCCTATATGGGGCATAACAAGTTGACAAATAATACTTGATTGAGTTAAACGAAATCCCTTTCAGCATTAAAAATTTAGAATGAAGAAGAAGAAAGAAATGTTATTTGAGTTTAGTTCCTTTCTGTTTATTTGCAACACAGATGTTTTACTTCTTTAAGATTTGCTTGCTTTTATGAATTGTAAATACACTGTTCCTAGAATCAATGTATGATGTTTTAATTGTGTATAATTAATTTTTAGTTCTGTTGCTACAGTTCTGTTTAGAAGTTTTATTTAATAAGTTCTGTTGCATTTATGTTGCTTAAACAAATCCTTCATTTTATAAGTTAATTCAAATTTCACTTTGCCAAGAAATATGTTATGTAAACATATTCACTTTTTAAATATGTTTACTATTTTTAAACATATGTAATTGAAAAAATTCCTTTAAACTTTAGGTTAAATTTTTTTTAAATTACGATTCTTAAACTAAATTGTTAAGAATTTTCTTGTTAAAATATTTTTTTTGTCTAACAGGATGTCAGACCTGATGTTTTTCTGAAAGTTTTGTCTGGAGATGCTGAAGGGGTTAAAAAACTATTGGGTAGAGATGGCAAAGTAATTGAGAGGTACTTAAACCTTTTATAGTATTTTAAAATCTTATTACAGGGCTGGAGACTTGTATAATATCATCCATGTTTGTCACAGACTTTGAAGCTGATAAAATGTGACTGAAATATGAATTCTTAAATGTGTACAAAGTAGGCCTATTATTATTACTGACTTACTTGACTTAGCCCTCTCTGCTCCTTATGGAACATAGGGCCTCCACCATTTCCTTCCATTTCTTCCGATCCCTGGCTATTAATTTTGCCATCTCCCAAGACATCCCTGTTGGCTTCAGTTCTTCAAGAAGACTCTACCTCCAGCTCTGTCTTGGGCGCCCTCTCTTCTGCTTTCCCTGGTTGTTCCACTCAAGTGCTTGTCGTGTAACATTTGGGTGGGCCTTTTGCAGTGTGTGACCCACCCAGCGCCACTTCCTTCTTCTTATTTGCACACCTATAAGCTCCTGCCTAGCTTTCCTCCATGATTCTATGTTCGGCACTTTGTCCTGCCATCTCAATTTCAATATCTAAGGCATCTGTTCATGAAGGTCTGTATCTTTGCTGTGCTTGCTTTGGAGACTCTCCGTGTCTCTGCTCCATCATGCAGAACATGCCTTCACATTTGAGTTAAATATCCTAATTTTTGTGGTAATGGAGATGGCTGAACTTTTCCATATGGCTCGCAGGACTGTGAAAGCGCAGCAGGCTCTATCAATCCTAGCACGTATGTCCTCCTCTGTGCCTCCCTTTTTGCTGATCTTGCTGCCAAGGTAGACAAACTCTTCCACATCATTTACCTGTCTTCCGTCTATTTTCACTGGGGCCTCCTGGTTATTGTTAATTCTCATCACTTCTGGCCTATTACTATTGCTTTTTGAAAAGTTATGGTCAGAAAAGCATTATTATGGAAAATTTATTCTTCCTGTTACTGAAATCATTCTTGTTATTTTTATTTTAAATGTAAACAAAATCAGTTTTTTTTTAAAAACTTTAATGTTAAAAATAATGTACAATTTGTATTCTCTTTCAAATTAATGAAACCAATGTTTAGTCTCTTTAAAATGTATTAAAATGATTTGTTATAAAGTGCAGTAATTAAAATATTTATTTCCTGTCATTTAGTGGACCGGATGACAAGATCTTTGTCAACTTTGTTGACCACGGTGGTCCTTTTGTTGTATGTTTTCCAGATTCTTATGTGAGTCAAGTAGAATAACCATATTTGGTCTGTAGTACACTGTAACCATAGGTCTACATTATAACCTTAATCAATTACCCTGTGGTTTAAAAAAGTATAAATGTTTTAGTATAAGTTTTTGAGTACAAATTACTAAAAAGTGGGGATTTTACAGAAGTTCGATCATCTGTACAGCCAATCAATGCTTATCTTATGAAAGTGAAACTGTATTTTATAATTTAGGCTTGATAAATAGAAATAGAAATGTAGCCTTAAATACAAACAATTATCTTCAAGTTCTTTTCTTTTGCAACTTTTATACATTTGATTCTAAAAATATTATATTTTTTTACATTCAATCTTCAGTTTTGATTATTTTTTTATGACCGCTGTAAAAGCAAAATTGACAAAACCATTATTTTTATCCGTGTCTAATAATGAATGGATTTTGTCAACTCACTGATGTTCATTATCCACCCACCTGTCATTTAGAGATATAGATACGTGGAGGAATAGATTGATAGTTTAAAATATTTGCAGCAAAAATTAATTCTGCTTAAAGTTTAATAATAAAAATAACCTTTAGCAGTTCTAAAGTGTAGCCGTAATAAATCTTAAGTATAGCCATATCAGGTTTTGTGGACAAGATGTGTGGGATATTGAAGCTAGACCCACCTCTCCAACATTCTCTGTTTCAAGCAGTTTCTCCAAATCGCGTCCCAGCAGTCATTTTCCAATTTTTTGTGTAGCCCACCTGCATTTCTCTTTCCTTGATTGTTCTAATGCCAGTCTAGTAACATTTTTGTTAGTTTCTGCAAGTGTGTCCAATCCATCCCCATTTGCACAGTGGTATTTCTTGGCAATTAGGGTTTTACTTGCTTTTAACCCTATATTTCTTTATATTTATCCATATTGTTATTGGGGTTTTTTTTTCAGCTTCATGCAGAAGATCTACATAGTACTATTAAGTCAATGCATGCTAACAAACATTACAAGCAGGTAGGCCTGTTTCATGTTTTTAATATACAACTCTTGCATTTGACTGAATTAATTTAATTCTACTTTTGGTCACCTGTTCCATAAATTCCATTGTTTGCCCAAATATTTAATTTGCTTTTGTTTTCTTATTAACTTATTCGCAGATGGTAATATACATGGAGGCTTGTCATTCTGGTTCAATGTTTGATAAGTTATTGGAATCTAATATAAATGGTAATGCAAAATTTCAAATGTTTTAATTTTTATTTTAACTCAATATAAGGTAATAACAGACATAGATATCTAACATTATTTTAATAGTTAAAGCTTGTTTTAGTTTGGAAGGCATACCAAATAAAAATTATTTTATTTAAAATATTCCTATCCAGTTTTTGCAACAACTGCTGCTAATCCAAATGAAGATTCTTATGTTTGCTACTATGATGATGAAAGACAGACATTTTTAGGAGATGTGTACAGTGTTTCATGGATGGAGGATTCTGATAGGGCAAGTTCTATAGCTGTGTTAGCCAGTTAGTTATTTCTTTTGTCTTTAAAAAAAATCTTCAGGAACATTATTTCAAAGTTGTCAGTTAAAAGCTCAATTTTATTACATTTCATAAAGAATCAATATTGAAAAGTATTTTTTTAAGTTATGAGTACTATAAAAAAAATTGTTTTAAGATTATTTAATTTAAAAAACATGAAATTTTAACTTGAAAATAAAAATCCATTTTGTTTTTCTGAAGAGATTGATCAAGGTAAACTTGTTTTATTTTTATGAGGTCAAAAAAAAACAGTAATCAGAATTTGATTTTTATTATAAAATGGACTTGATTCGAATCCCTTTTTGAAAAATTGCTCTTCAATTGCATGAAGAACTAAAAAAATTTTGATTTATTTGGAAGTAATTTCTCATCAAACCTATATCATATACAAATGTGTGTAATCTTTAGTGAGTCATGTATTAATAGTAGATCTTTATTTATTTCTGGGTTAATAGGAAAATCTGACTCAAGAAACTCTTCAGCGTCAATACTTGATTGTGAAAAATGAAACCAATACAAGTCACGTCATGGAATATGGAGATCAGGTAAAATGTTTAGCACTTGCTGTTGTAGAAATTTTGTTTTGTATAAATATATTTTTATAAACTTATTAACCTTGCACCATAAAAAAAGAGAAAATATTATGTTTCTATCATCATATTTTGATGCAAATGCTTTTCTAACAGTATTTAAATGAAATTATTACCTATGTTTAAAACTTCAGGAATCTCTTCTAAAATACTATAGACATTTGGTCTTGAAATACTTTGTCCTCAGATGTCCTTAAGATCAGAGGCGTAGCGAGGGGTGCGGACCGCAACGAGTGACACCATTTTGGGGGGGGTGACAGCAAGGCAAAAATGCTTATACACATACATGTACGCGTATGCGGCATATATTTACATTATAGGCCTATGTAGGCCGACACAAAAACACACACCACACACACACACACATGTATATATATACTTTTTTTCTTGTGGGGGTGACATCTAGACATTGCCGCACTGGGTGACACCCGACCTAGCGACGCCACTGCTTAAGATACTTGCATGCCTTTTTTTTCTTTGATGCTGATAGCCATTTTATCACCCTTGAAAAACTTTAAGTACTAATGCTTATCTGTAATATAAAATGAAACTATATTTGAATTTTTTTATTAATTGCTGCTCCGTGAAACTATATCCAATTCTGACTTTGTTTTCATACTTTTTTCTGTCTGCTTCTTTCTGCTGGATAAGTTGAGGCGCATTATAATTTTAAACTATTAAATAGATTTTAGCAACCGTTTTTATAATAATTTATAGAAAATAAGCAATCTGAAGGTGGCAGATTTCCAAGGTAACCTCACATCTAAAACACTAACATTTTCTGGAAGCCCATATCAACGCACAGTAAGTTATTTGTTGCTATAATACACTTTTATCAATGAAAACAAGCAAATTATAAAAGACCAGCATATATTGAACATACTTTTGAGCTTATTGTTTGTATTTTTATTACGATCTTATCTATTAATTTTTCGTAGCTGGATGCAGTCCCAGTTTCAGATGTAAAGCTTGAAATACTTAGAAGAAAAATGCTAACCAACAGCGACAACACCGAAGATCAAATAGCTTATGAAAAATTGTTGAAGGTAAAAAGCTGAAGCAATAATGGTTATTATCTATAATTTTATGTTCATGTTTTTAAAATTCCTACTTTTTAAAGTCTAAATGAAGTTATTTTAATAAAAAATCTGAGAATCTTCCAAATGTTCTCCTGCCAGCTCAAGCAGGAAACTGAGGACTACTTCAAGAAAATTGTGGAGCATGTTACCCACCTCCCTCTATACGAAATTTACCTGAACGCTCCACTACACCTTACCGACTTCAAATGCTACAGAGAGAGTTTGATGCTTATACGTGACATGTGCCCAGGGTTGGGCTACCATAAGGTGAGACTGCTGATTGGGTAACCTTTTGTTTAGACTATGCTTGTATCCTTTTAAAGTTTGGCAGCTTATGCAGCTCTTGTTTATAATCAATCATTTTTTAATCTTTATAAATCTGGTTAGTAAACTAGCAAAATTACATCACTTGAAATAAATTTCAGTTCTTCCTTTAGTTGGTGTGTTGAGATTTTTCAACATTTTATTGATTTACCCAAAATTGTCTAGATCCACACTGCTCTTTAGTGTATATTTCTTACCTAACAAAAAATTAACTATATTCTCATATTGTTTTCCCTAACGGATTTATTTTTTCCACACAGAATGATTATATTTCCAAACAACTAAAAGTGATTGCCAATATGTGTGAGGCTGACATCCCAGCTCAAAAAATCTGGGCAGCCATAGGCAGAGCGTCCTATGACTCAAATATTTGCATTCAATCAACTTAAAATGTTGATTCTTTTTTTTTACTTTTCAATCAGTTTAACATTGTGATATCAATTTTGTTTAAATTAGTGATAACAGAGTCAATTGCTGTTAGTGGTAGATTACATGTACCATGTACTTGCCAGTTTGGCAGTTAACAGCAGAATAATTTAAATGGTAGATTTAAGAATTATATTAGTGTTGTTTTAAACAAAAATGTGTAACCTTGATATAAATCACATTTTGTTTAAGAAAAAAGTTTAAATCTGATAATAGTCTTTTATATTGTTCTATACTATTAACATTATTTAATCCTGATTTTATTTTTTATACAGCAGAAGATTTTGTACAACATTCCTACTCCACAATGTTTAATTTTGTGTTTGTTTTTGCATTCAGACTTTGGTGACTAGAAGAGGGGGGGGGGGGTGTTACAATAAAGTGAAGCTACATTTTTTTTAAATTTTAGAAAGTGATTTTGGAATATGAATTTTAGAACTAATTTTTTTTATATTTTTAAAGTAATTTATAATAGATTAATGTGTCTAATCTTGAAACATTTGTCAAAATTTTCTCTGTGATTATCTATGTATTCCTTAAAACCAAACAATAAAGTGGAAGTGATCTCTCCTTAATTTTCTTGTTTTTTCTTATGTAACTGTAGGGGCACTTCCAGGGCTACATAAATGTTTTTATTGAATTATTTTGGTACTTAAGGTTTTTAAACTGAATAGAATTAGGGGGGGACGACTGCATCAAACTAATGCAAAAGGGGTCGTCCATAAATGACGTCACACTCGTAGGGGGGAGGGGGGTTCGAAATTTTGTGACGGTGTGTGATGGGGGGGGGGGGGGTCAGATGGTGCGACGTCACACTTTTGCATTGTAAAAAAAGCCATGTTAGAAAACGAATTTTAGATGTTTTTTCGAGTTTTAGAAAACTGTTTTAATAAATTGTAATAGGAATTGATTAAAATACTCTAATTTGACAGAGTTCAGACAAGATTTTAGAAAAATAACGATGCTTTTTAAAAAAATTCAACTGCAATTTTCAGTGGAGTTGTAGGCTAAGGTGTGACGTCATTTTAGAGGGGGGGTCTGGCTTTTTGTGACGACGTGTGACGGAGGGGAGGGAGGAGGTAAAAATCTTTAAAAAAAAAAAAACGTCACGTCATTTATGGATGACCCCAAAAGGAAACATTGTTTACCTTTTTTTTTTTTTTTTTGAGAAAACTGTGAAGTAGCTTAAAGTACTAGAATCTAGATCTACTTCTGGTCAATGGAAATCACTCAAAATTTGACAGAAAACAGCCAATAAGTTTTTTTTTTACCTATGAACAAAATTTCATCTACCTGACTTAGAAAGCTCTCAAGTAACTTAGTATTTTTAGAAACCTGAAATTGAGTAAAGTACCTTTTCCTGATATCAGAAGTCACTCAAAAGTTCTTTCGCTTATGAAACTTCATCCACACATGAACAGTTATCATGTTTTGACGAAATAAAGTACTCTTCTGGAAATCCTCCTTAAATGTCAAAATTTGTCAAAATCTCAATTAAGATTTTTTTGGGTGTGGGGAAATTGCGAGACGCGAAAAGCGAAATGGCGAGGCGGGAAAATGCGAGAAGGGCGCGAAAACGGTCGGTCACATGACTTTTTTGTCTCGCATTTTACCACAACCCGATACTTACGCTGGGTGGTGTTGAAATGCGAGGATTTCTGCGAAAAATTTACCGCACCCGATTTTCAGTGGTATTTGGTCCAGACTTCAAAGACGTTTCGTTTACATTGTTAAAACTTCCGATTTTTCCGTTGCTAGACATACTGATGATTTGTCAACTCCCCCCATCTTTTGTGTCGACTTAGAATACCACCTTGTTCGAAACCGACGGAAATACTGCCGACGATAGATCAACTTCTGTCTTTTGTGAGGAACGCCGAGGCCGCCTGATTTACAGTCTTTGAAAAGATCGCCGTGCCCGGATCCGCTGCCGCCGCAAACATATTTTCTATTGTTGCATAGAAATTTTGTATTATAGCCGCCGCCTACGATTTTTTTTAGCTTTTTTTTACCATATAAATCTAAGCACAAGGAAATGCCTACATCATTTGGATACAACAAAATAAAGTGACTTCACCGATATTATCAGTTGCTCATGCTATATCGTAAGCTATGGGCCTACTTCAAATATTTTTAAAACCAAGTTGAACTTATCTGAATTTTTTGGTTTTGGTGGTGGTGTTATTTGGGGGTCTTCCATAAATGACGTCACACTCGTAGGGGGGGGGGTCTGTTATTTTATGATGATGTGTGATGAGGGGGAGGAGGGGGAGGATGGGGGGTTAGATGTGAAGTCACACTATAAAAAAGCAATGTTAGAAAAAGAATTTTAGACGTTTTTTCGCGTTTTAGAAAACTGTTTTAATACATTGTAATAGGAATTGATTAAAATACTCTATTTTGACCGAAATTAGACAAGATTTTGGGAAAATATCGATGTTTTAAAAAAACTCAACTGCTGGTGACAACAATGAGCAAGACATTGCCAAAATTACAGAAATGATAAAAAATACAAATAATAAAAAACGGAAAACAGATGTCGAGCGTGCGGATGATGAGAACATGGGTGCCAGTGTTGTTTGTGGGATGAACGAGGAGGTCAACTGTGATGAGAATGTGAAATGTGAATGTGGATTGGAAGAAGTAGCAAAAGAAAAATGTATAAATGTGAGTCTAATGAACTGGGTTGGGTGTACTATGTGTAAAAGATGGTGTCACGAGGTGTGTTTGAGGACTGTTTCAGAAGATTTTGTTTGTAAATTTTGTTTGTAATTAAAATTACTTAATAAAAAAATTAATTGCACTTTTTAGAATTGTTTATACTTTTACACTTTTTGCAAGTACAAAAATCCATAAATAGATGAAATAGATGTTGCAAAATATCTGTCCTGCTGACAAGATTATACCAATTCACAATGACACAGCTCACGTTTGTATAAACATGAGCGGGCTAGATTTTTAAATTAATGCCGACTGAGACGGGATTTTTCCTCTCGCTAATAAGAGCGGGCGATGACAGTAGCACAGCAACGATAATAGGATTTTTTTTATATCTAGATCTATCTATCTTCTTAGTATCTAGATAAAAAATAACAACATACAACACTCGTGTTAAAGGGTATGGCTAAATGCTTGTTTATTTTAAAACAAAAAAAAAAATAATTTAAATAAATAAAGATGGAAAAAAAAGGAAAAAACTTTTTTCGCAAAAAGTGTCTCGCTATTTACCCTTAATTCCGCAGGTATGTCTCGCATTACCTTCTCGCATTTTCCCGCCTCGCCATTTCGCTTTTCGCGTCTCGCAATTTCCCCACACCCGATTTTTTTACGATTACAATACATCCTTTATATTTCGTATGCGATAAAGTATGAAAGTATAAAACGGTAGGTCTAATAAATTAAGCAAAAATAAGTCATTTCTAATTAGATCTACAAGCAATTAAATACATTGAAAAAAAAATTCTTCATTGAACGTAATTTAAAATCTAGATCTAGATCCTACACTCTAATTTAATTTTTCTAATAGTCACAAAATATTAAGATTCTGAGGGACCAACTTTTTATTTATTTTTTTTAAACGGTGGAAAAAAAAATGCTCTCCCCGGCGGGGAATCGAACCCCGGTCTCCCGCGTGACAGGCGGGGATACTTACCACTATACTACCGAGGACACATGGGAACGTAGAAATTTCTGTTTATATACATACTTAATGAATATATTATCACGTGATAAAATTTGATCCAGGCAATCCAAAATGGAGGATATCATTTATACGATGCTCTCGGATTAGTGTTATCAAACTAATTTCTGCCAATGTATTCGGGTTTATGTAAATTATATTATACATCCACAATTATAAGGTAAGTCTCGACGTTTTTTTACATATTTATGATTTAAATGGGAATTTTTTATTTTCTAAAGTATTTAAAAAACGAAGAAACTAGCCAACCAATTATTAGCCCAAAATCTAAATGAAAGTTATTTTTGATACGAGTTAACGCCCTTGGACGAAAAACTACAGCCTTTTCCTACTTCTTCATTTTATGAATTTCTTATGTCAACGGGTTTAAACTGTTATTCCAGCTTTACCCAAGTAAGTTGAAGTAAGGATTTCTAATTGTATCTAGAATCTAGATCTTATTTTAGCTATTGTGCTGAGTTATAATTACTACCCTAAAGTAAGCCCTAAGGCCTACTACTTAAATTTTTAGATCTAGATCTAGAATAGATCTACTCTAGCTAGCTAGGCCTTCTCTAGATACTCAGAATCTCTACTCTGTCTAGAATAGATTTTTTATCAACTTCAACTAGAATCTAGTATCTAGACTTCAAGTAGATCTATCAAGACAAGAAATCTATTTTAAATTAAAAGACTAGGCCCCCTATTATTTTTTTTTACAAGTTAAATTTAGTAGGCCCTATGTTAAGTTACTTAATAGCAGTTATCTAGATCTAGTTAAGTCTTTTTTTAAGTTAATAATAGTCCTAGTTACTTAGTCCAACTACTTTCTAGATCTGGTATATATCTACCCTCCTTAATGCTGAAATTCTTTGTGAAATCTACTCCCAGGTCTTAAGGCTTTAAGACTCTTGACTAGTGGTACTTATTACTTGACCTGGATTCGACCGAACCCTAGGGGTTTGGTGAATCTGTCTCAGGTGTTCATGGAAGTCATTAAACACCCACCTAACTCATATTATTTATTTGCAATCTGATTTTGTCCGAGCAGGTGATTGAAATTGAACTAGCTGCCGATGACAATTCTAATACAACAACATGACATATCAGCAGGGGCGTAGCGAGGGGGGGGGTGCGGACCGCACCGGGTGACACCAAGGCTAAAAATAGCAAAATATATAGAGAAAAACTTGAGGGGGGGTGCAAATCGAATGTTTGAGGGGGGTGCAAATCGAAAACTTGAAAGTTTGTCCCCGGGAAGGGTCGCAACGCCTCGGGGGGGGGGGTGACACCATTAAGTGCCGCACCGGGTGACACCCGACCTCGCTACGCCACTGCATATCAGTATCAATAAAGTGAAATAGATCTAGATCTAGACTCTACAAGTCTACAACTCTATTAATTTAATATTAAATTATTAATAATTTGATAATTAACCTTTTAGTTATCATTAGTAAAAAAATTTAGTCTTATAGTTTATATTCTACTACAAGTTTACCCTTTACAGGATTAAAAGAGTATATTCTAGTTCTAGGATTATAGACATTTCTGGAATAATATGAAGTGACTAGGTCAGGTTCCTGGTTTTTTTAATAGGCCTAGACCCTATTCACTTTTAATTTTATCAGGCCTAAACTACGTCATTATTGTCAGCAGTCTACTTTTAAGCCATACAACGAGAACACATTTATTAAAATTGAAACATTTAAAATGGAATAATTGATGATGGTTCACATCAGCATTGACCATTGGCTTCATTAAAATTTTAATGAATGGGTACAAATTCATATAATTTTAGCTCATTGAGTTGTTTAGGAATATGATAAGAGTTGATTTTGGAGACTTAGACAAGCTATATGCATGTGACTAAATAGTTTGCTGTTAAACACTTA